ACCATTACTAGACCTGATATTTGTTTTGCTGTGAACCAGGTAAGCCAGCATATGCAAGTGCCAAAGATCCATCATTGGAAAATGGTGGAGAGAATTCTCAGATACCTTAGTGGAGCTCCATGCCAAGGTGTATGGATGGGGTGCAATGGCAACACATTAGTGGTTGGTTACTGTGATGCAGATTGGGCAGGAGATAGGAATGATAGGAAATCAACAACAGGCTACTGCACCTTCATTGGAGGCAATCTGGTCACATGGAAAAGCAAGAAGCAAAAGGTGGTGTCATGTTCAAGTGCTGAAGCTGAATATAGAGCCATGAGAAAACTGACTAATGAGCTAGTATGGATAAAGAAGCTACTGAAAGACTTTGGCATAGAAGTCACTGCTCCCATCACAATGCATTGTGATAAACAAGCCGCCATCCACATAGCCTCAAACTCAGTGTTCCATGAGAGGACCAAACACATTGAGGTGGACTGCCACAAAGTTAGAGAAATGGTGCTACAAGGAGTGATCCTACCTTGCTATACAAGAAGTGAGGATCAGCTTGCAGATATATTCACCAAGGCTGCAAGCTCCAAGGTGTGTGAGTTCATATATCCCAAGCTTGGGCTTACTGATCTTACTCAAAAGCTACTTCCCTCACTATGAAAAATCTACTCTTTCCTTAGTGTGTTTTTGTCCCAATTGGGTTTTGCATACTAAGGTTTTAATGAGGGATGTTTTTCATGGTCCTTCCAAGCTTGACTTGTTCCACATGGTCAAGCTTGAGGGGGAGTATTGACCTGAGTGTAGATATGGATCCATGACAATGAGAAGAGAAGAAGAAGATAATACACTTGGGCGAGTATGTTATGATCAGTCCGTACAAGTGTACGGATGACCTAGAGTGCCTTGCAAGCAAAGGAACATTCAAACCCGGTTTGAATGTGAGAGAGAGCCGTTGGAATGTCAAGACAAGAAGAGAGGATCCGTTGAAGTAGAAGACAAGAGGAAGAGGAGACAAAAGAGATTAGTTTAGGATTATAGTACAAAGGGGATTAGTTTATTAGTATACCTTGTATACCGTTTAGGAGAGGTCACTTTCAGTGTCCAGACCTTATTTGTTTATGCATATTTGGGTAGATCTAGGTTAGCCTTGTNCGTTGAAGTAGAAGACAAGAGGAAGAGGAGACAAAAGAGATTAGTTTAGGATTATAGTACAAAGGGGATTAGTTTATTAGTATACCTTGTATACCGTTTAGGAGAGGTCACTTTCAGTGTCCAGACCTTATTTGTTTATGCATATTTGGGTAGATCTAGGTTAGCCTTGTTTAGCTATTTATACACATGTAAAGCCTCAAAATTAATTCAAGGAAAATAATCCTTCCTACACTCTTACTCTCACTTGCAATCTCTCTCTCTTCCCTCACGGATGAAACCTACTCTCTCATGTTCTTAATTAAATCTCTCATGTTCTTCACTAAACTTAAAGCTAGGATTTCCTCTCAGATGTGAAATAGAGGAAGCGGCTGTGAGAACGGTGGTGATAACTCTGTGATAACAGCGGAGAGATAACCGGCGGTGTGAACGATGGATTAGAGAGATTCGACGGAAATCGCCTTTGAAATCACCTTTGAGAGAAACGGCGTTAGGGTTTTCTGAATTTCGTGAAAAAAGTGAGTAAAAAAACATCTTATATATGTCCGGTAAAAAATCCGGTTAGGTTTAAAAGTAAATTGGTAAAATCAAAGCTTCAGTCCGGTTTGGGCGACTTATTAGTAAGTCGTCTGTTGAATACTAACATCAGACGACTTACTAGTAAGTCGTTTGCCTTAAATATATTTATCAGACGAGTTAATAGTAAGTCGTCCAGACCCTAAACCCCAAACCCTAAACTAAATTGACTAAATTAACTAACTAACCACGTTATAAAATTAAATTATACTTAAATAGTGTTTACTATACACAAAATTAAACACACTTAGGTAAATTTTAAATTGTTCAAAAAAACATTTATGCTTTCGAAAATCTAACCTTAAGAAACACATACAATACTACAACATATGTTGGCAAAACCTAAACCAAAGAATATCATGACTCACTACTTTCACTCATCTATGTTGAAAACAATTAAATTTTGTTATATCTTAATTTACATCTCTTAAAACATATGTTAATTACATGATTTTAATTTTTCACATATCAAAATATTTTTTACCAAATTTAAATTATTTTTAAGAATAACTATACTAGACGAATTTCAAGTAAGTCGTCTGGACAAAATACTTGCGGGGGTTAGAAACGTAAAACATATTCGGGTTTTTGTTTGTTTGTTCACAAGGGGCTGGTTGTAATCTCAATAGTATTTTAGGTTACTTGTGCATTTGATTCAAGTTTGGGTTTACTTTTGCATTTAAAACCAAATTTTGAGTCATATTTGGCAAATTAATGATTTTATACTCTCTATGCATTTAATTTAAGTTTTGGTTTACTTTTACTTTCTATGCATTCTAATTTAAATTAGAAGAATTCTAGATCACCTTATATAAAACTATAGTCTAAAAATTATACTCTCTAGAAATATCATATTTCATGACTATAGTTGGTCGCATAAACAATTTCGTATGCTTTACTTAAATAAACCTACGAACTTACCTAATGTGATTAAAATATATATATGGCAATTAATAATTTTAAAAAATAAATATTTGATAACAATCTGTATACTTTTTATTATTTTGTTTATTTCTGTATTATTAAAATAAATTACACATTTACATTAATAATTAATAAAAAAATAGGTTTTTTGTGTATGTTGTATTTCGAATTTTTCAAAACTAGTAAAAATTTCGAAACTGTTAAAAGTCTCACATAAAATTTTATGCTCAAGGTTTATTTTTTTTTCTATATTAAGATACAATTATTATAAGAGAATATGAAGAAATAATTTTATTTTAATAGGTTTTTATGTTAATATATATATATATATATATTTCATATCGTTTAAATTAAACTATACATCGTATGAAAAATATACTAATATTTTGATATTTGTATTGAACATATATTGAAAAGTTAATATTTTAATTTTAAAATCTATCCTTGTTTTTTTAAATGATTATAAATCATTGAAACTACTAAACATTTCAACTTTAAAAAAATTCGTTGGTGTTAAATTTTGTTATACAAATATGCAAATAATCATAAAATCATATGAGTAGAAACCTCATTTAATAAATATATAGATCAAAAGTTTGATGTATATCTATGTTAATATTATTTAAATATAATTATATATCATATACAATAGATAAGATTGATTGTTTTGATTTATTTACCCTAACTGTGAATAAACAAGAGTGATCGTTAGATTTATATGCACACGTTAATTTCTTACATAAAAGTAACTGATTTCTTAATAATTTAATATATATATTTATTTATTTATTATTTCATAATATGCAGAAAAAAACATAAAACAAATAATAAATATAAAATACTTATTTTTTAAATGTGCATATCTTAACCTAAGTGTGTATCTTTTTAATTATTTTAAATCTTAAGCATTATCTAAATCTTAGGACAAAAAAACGAAATGAGAATTAACTTCAAAATTAATATTTATATAGAGAAATAACCAAAATGAAAAAAAAAAGACACAAAAAGAGAAAAATCTCGAAGATTGATAGGATTGGCACGTGAACGTAAACTTCTCATAACCGTAACTAATTTTTAAATTACTAAATCATGATATAAAACCGTGTTGACATAGTTTAATTGTAACCAAATAGACCTTAGATATTTTGACCTAAAAGTTAGGTTGTTTGCGGTAAGTGATATTTTGACATAAAACATTTTTAAAAATGAGATCAGCTAATCAGTAAACAATTTATGTAATTAACAAAAAAAAATAAAAAATTGACCAAAATATTAATTCAATCAGGAATATATATATTTAGTTTTCCATATAATATTCTTTTAATAATTTTTATATAAATTTATCCTTCGCAAGGAACAGGTCTTATGCTAGTCTAATATATTAAAACAGAAGTCATGACATTAATTCATGTGCGATATTTTTAAAAATGGACTATCACTAGAAACTTTTACTATATGTATTTCATTAACTGTATTAATAAAATATTTGTAACTACTTTAATTATAATATCTTTTGATATATTTTTATTTTAAATATAAATATATATTCAAATCTAAAAAAAATCTGCTAAAAAAGATTTAACAAGATCTTAACTTTTAAAAAAACTATGTTAATATTTCACTAATTTTAAATTAGTGAAGAATATAAATTATACATTAATATACATATAGTTATCTTTTACAAGAAAAAAAATTATATCTTTTTATCTATCTTTTATAAAATCATAATGTGTCATATTAAAAGAAAATTATTACAATAAAATTCTATTAAATGGTTAAATTAATTTATTTTATTTTCATAAATAGATATTATTAATGTTAAAAATATAATACGCAGAACATGTTGATATTAGTAACTATATAACAAATGTATAAAATTAACATATAAGCTTTTATATATACAATACTATATTATATAAATAAGCATAAAAATTTGTTAATTTAGTATAAATTAAATATAAAATAATTTTCAAATATATTTTTTCATGCATATATTAGCTCATTTAATAATCAAATGTAAATCTATGAAGATAAATATATAATAAAAAATGATTGAAAAATTGTTATTAACATAAAATTATTATGTTTGTAATAGTTTTATAAATATTTAAATATATGACTAACGTCACTAATAATGTAAAATAAATATTTATGTATATAAAAATTAAAATAAAACTAGCACGGTTGCGTGGATCAAAATATAATATACCATTAAATGACATGTATGTACCCTTTCATGCATTTATTTTTATTACGTGTTTTTACAATCTTATTTTGTTGAATCAAACTGTGAAACCAAATATTCATTACAAAACCAGCTAAATAGGAGATTGCGTTACAACAGAACCATGGATTGGGACTTTATTGTCCTTGAAAGCTACACCATGACTAGTAACCACCTGAAATTCCTCAGATTCATTATTTTTCGAAACCTGCCTTCTCAGTTCAACACAACCACAGTAATCTACTAAGTACTTAGTTGCATCTTTGAAGTATTTGTAAAGTATAGTACCTACTCCTCCCCCTGTAAGATTTCCAGAACCCAGAAAAGACGAAAGGGTTTCAAGATTAGAGAAACGTTGTTTTTGAGCTAAAACTAAAAAGGCCATATATAATTTTTATGACTTACAATGAGTGACTAGTAACAAATTTTCAGAAGGATACTTGTCTGCAAGAACCTTCAATGTGTTAATATATCTTTCTTTAAAGCCTTCCGAAGATTCTCCCCATTGTGGCAACTAAACACAACAAACATAGAATCGAGAAAAAAAAATATATACCATCAAAGAATATACTCAACGAAATTAAGAAGAAGATTAAGAATGAATCTTTCCAAAACAATTAAGTCATAGAGAGAGCACCTCTTTACAAGCCATATCCACATTAATGTCAAATGTTCCCTCAGGAAACATAGCTTGTAGATCTGAAATCTTGAAATCAAAGTCCCCATCTTTGGGAGCAACCTCACTTTTAATAGCCACTGTGTTCAGTATCTCACACAATCCAAATTCAATAACTACCTGAATCAGAGGAGACAAAGCATAAAGCAAATGCCTCAATAAAAATTATCACACTATTGGGTTTTTACAAACATTAGTAAATGGTAAAAGTACATATTTATGAAATAACGTCAGTTGAAATAGGAACAGTCATTGGCAAAGCCTAATGACACATTTGATCTGATTTTAAAATTGTATGAGCTACTGTATATTGATTGTATGATTTGAATTCTTTTTTTTTGTTAAGCTTTAGTTTTAAATGTTTAAAGCCCCATAAATTTCAGACACCAATTGCTATATTACAAAAACATCGATTCTATTTCAACATAAGTATATAAAAATATATAAATGTTATTGTCTAACCTTGAGCTTAGAGTTATCGATGGCAGGCACGTCTTTAGAAGACATAGCGTTGTGATCGAGATTGACGGCTGAGAGAGCGGCGACGACTTCAGCAGCGGTCTGGATGCAGCGGAGGAAAGGAGAAACAATGACACGGTGAATCGGAAACCCAACTTGAGAACGGATTCTTTGACCGGTTTGAAAGGCTCGAACCTTACCGTCGTGAACGAGCGGAGGATCCCACGGTCTCTCAGCGGTTGAAACCCAAAGTGGCTCGCAACGGTCGGCTCGATCACCGTGACGCATCACTATGACATTTTGTGTGCCATTCATGTTTGATTTAGCAAACTCCATTGCTCCTTTTTTATGTGGTCTTTGCCAAATTAATGGAAGAGGTATAAGGTATTTATACATGCAAAAATCTTTTGTTTTTTTCTTGGTGTAATAAAGTTTACTCCACAATAGAAATTGCTAGGAAGATCATCATTACACAATAAGATATTGTTTCTACATTACTAATTGAAATGATTACGAATTTACATTAATATAAACCAACACTATAAGAAACCACCAAGCATGAACCGATTAAAACGGTATTTGTTTTTGGCATGACTTATTGAAATAATTACGAAATTTACATCTATATATGTAATCTAACATTATTAGAAACCACCAAGAATGAACCTAAATAAATCTTTAATATGGAAGCGGAAAGAGAATATACATATCTAATTATATATTGTAATAAATAAATTTATTTTTAAGGTATGAGGATGGAGTTATCAAAATGTGATTAATCTATATTATTAAAACTAAAATACCTTATAATACTATTTGAAAATAAGGATAATAGGATAAATAAGAATTGGCTGGAAACATGGATAACAGATTAAGTATTTCCTTTTAGTTGTACATTTATTCATTGCATCTATAAAAAAAATAAATATTTTTATATTTTTTTATTTACAAATAATGCATTGCATTTAAATCTATTTAAATTAATTAGTTACAATGTTTTTCTTTCTTTGTCGGAAAAAAGTGAAATATATATAGCATATATTATATAAAATAAATATAGCACTACCTAATTTAATTTAGTCAGATATAAAATTTTGAGAGTTTAATTTAAAAAAAAATCAAAATATCAGAAAAGTAATGATAAATCATAGAAACTAATGCAAAAAATTAATTTTTAGTATGTTGTTTTATTTAAATAATATAGATTAACAAAAAAAAATATATTAATATATGAATAGTACAATTACATCAAATCTCATCAAGTTATAGAATTTCTAATCTAATATTATGTTCAGATAAAAATTTATTATTAAACATTTATATTAGAAAATAATATATTCTACTCTATATGTAAATTAAAAACAGAAAAGAATATATATATTTTAATAAAATCAGTGTTTATAATTTACGTTGAACACAAGTTAAATCAAACACCCACACGGGAGTGTGGGTCAAGTTCTAGTTATTAATTAAAACAAAAGTGATTAATGAGATTCTAATATCCATCAAAAAAAGTATTTAAAAGATAATATTTGAGAATTTATTACATGCCTACTGAAACTTCATCAATCATTTTTGTTTTAATTATCAACTAGTCACTTTATAAAAACTTCATCCTTATACCATTGATAAGGGTGTTCTAAAGAACAAAACATGCTAAACTGGAAATTGAGTGATAACATTATTTATGGATTGGGATTTCGTAGTTGCTGAGAGATATTTTATTTTTAACTGAAGTTTCTAATTTTCCAAAATTTAAACAACATCATATAGTATTAATTATTCCCAATAATTTAATTATGTAACACTAAGCACTACAAGAAAACTAAGGCATTACTAGGAAAGTTTACTAGGAAAATATTTCCTCGTAAAAATACTACGAGTTTACTTCGAGTTTACGAGGAAACCACTTTTCCTCGTAAAGTTCTTGTAAATTTACGAGAAAAGAGTTTCCTCGTAAACTCGAAGTAAATTTACGAGGCCCTTACGAGGAAAAAGTTATTTTCCTCGTAAACTCAAAGTAAAGCTTTTCCTCGTAAAGTCCTAGTAATTGTTTACTACGAAATTAGGAGGAAAAGTTTTGTTACTACGAAATTAAGAGGAAATGGATAGAAAATATCGAATATTAATCAAAAACGTGTTTTGTACCTACTTTTCCTAGCAATTTCCTAGTAAATGCTCAGATTCGAAAATTTCTATAAATATCACCATATGTGATTCATTTGAAACACACCCAAAAAAATCAGCTATAAGCTTGATCAAACAAAAAATAAATGTCCGGTCCGGGAAGTATTTTCGAGATGCGGAAGTGGATGTATTCACACAGAGATAATAACGGGAGGGTGACGAAAGAATTTCTCGAAGGGTTGGAGACGTTTATGCATCAAGCAGATTCTACACCACTCACGCAGGAAAGTGGTAAGATGTTCTTTCCTTGTCGGAAATGTTGCAATACCAAATTAGGCCCTCGTGATAATGTTTGGAAGCATTTAGTAAATAGAGGTTTCATGCCATATTATTATATTTGGTATCAACATGGAGAAGATGCTAGTTGTAGGAATGAAGGTAGCAGTAGTAATAGCAATTTTCAGATTGAACCGGTTGAGCATTTGCGTAATGAAGGTAGCAGTAGTAATAGCTATCATCACCAAGACGAACAAATGGTAGATTGTGATAGGGTTCATGATATGGTAGGTGATGCCTTTGTAACTCATGATGATGATGAAGTTGAAGAACCCAACTTAGATGCCAAAAAGTTTTATGAAATGTTAGATGCTGCGAATGAGCCAATTTACAGTGGTTGTAGAGAAGGTCTGTCTAAATTGTCGTTGGCTGCTAGAATGATGAGTATTAAAACCGATCACAATCTACCTGAAAAATGTATGGATGCATGGGCAGACTTGTTTAAAGAGTATTTGCCAGAAGACAATGTGTCTG